GGTATGAGAAACTAGAGGGTTCAAGCTTTCTAACAAGCACCCCAACATTCCTGGAAATTTAGTACTTCGAAAATTAGTCCCGTTGGGACTTTCTTTTGAAGGGGCATTCTTCAAGTCATTTTCTTAAGAACGTGGGTTTTTCTAGGTTTCACAGGCCGCAACCTCCAGGGAAAACAATATCGTTTTGACCATAGGATGTGTTAGAATGCTTCGAGCACGTGCTTGCAGTGGCATACCCTGCTTCGGTGTGCGCCATGTCTCGGCCGCGCTTCTGATTCGCTGATTCGATTGAAAGGTCATTTAGAAGGAACCGGATTACAGATGCTCTACTATCAATTTTCTTGCGTAAACAAAGTGGTGGACCATGGTTTCTTAGGCAGTACTCCAGCTAAAAATTTCATTTCTATATGCGAGATAGTTGACGGATCCCACCCAAGCTAAACCAAGTTACACCCCCTCGTTGTACTGTACAACGTAGGGTTACCTCCCTGCCCCACCGTGTTCAACCAGTACAAGAATAAAAAGAATGGAATATTTGGATCTGTCTTGTTTCAAGGTTCAGCGAACAGTATAATTATTGAGTAATGAATTAGCAGGCACCTCACTGATAATTTCAAAGTACAGTAAGTTTTATAGCCTTCGTGCATCTTGCATTTAATCTTCATCAAAGCTTCTAACTAAACAAAAACAAAAGAAATCGGACGTCGTGCTTCGACTTGGGCCATTCAAGTCATCGTGCAGCCAAATCCATACATCTCGACTACGACTCTAAATGAAGTCGAATGATGGGTAATCTTGAAGAGGCATTGTTGGAACGAGATTTTAATTTTTCATCATACTCTCGCTACGTGACCGCCGGTGCGACTATACTACCTTTTTTCGTTTATGGTTATATTATACGACCAAGAAAAGAAATAGTAAATTAACACGAGTGGTTTAACGAGATTTCGTCTTTTACGTGATTTACTGGTTTCATCTTCGAATTTCGATACTTTTGATGCAGATATCAAAAAAATTCAAGTTCAAGTTTTGATCTGAGAACACCGCGTATAGCCTGTAGAACTCGTTTCACCTCTTATGTACGCATGCTTGCTTCCGACAACAGTGCGGACCCACAACTTAAAGGCGAATTCGATTAGAATGAAGTTAACGAAGGAGGTTAATCGCCCTAGTTGAGGACATACGGACCTCCTAAGGTCGTGAACTGAAGCTATTGCACGAAGAGTTCCCTCGCGACCTATTAAGGCTCCTCTTGGGCGCGTGGTCACTGCACTACACTTTTGATTGGCACAAGTTATTTGGTTCTCATATAATTCCTGTCGCAATTTCGACACTTTTGTTTATTCAAGTTTTATCTCTTCTGGGAAACAACTGACTAATAGCATAACCACCATCATGGTCACTGATATGCGTGCATTTACTAGTGGGCGTTTGGAAGCTTCCAGCCCAGAATGAAGGAAACTGGGGGTTGAAGAATTTGGAGAAGTCTTTTTGGGGTGGAGACCGCAATCTTTACTTCTTACTCTGGCAGTCTTATCATAAGCGCAGGGGTAGTCCGGTAGAGCGATGCCAATGCTATATGGTGGATAGGTATCGCGGCCCTGGCTATCTCCCTCAGAGCCGTGGTGAGTTGCATTGCAATGTGAGGTCTGGTGTACATTCGGAGGAAGGAGGATCTGAGACGTTTCTGACGATTCCTCGCAACCCCGAAGCCAGCCAAGAGGGCTATTCCGCGCTGACTTTAGCAATGCTTGTCTTCATACATTGAAGTGGTTCCCAAACCAGGCCACCTAGCGAATCCAATAAAACGAGATCGATATTCTCAGAAAACGGAGTTCGGGCTTTGGTTGAGCTGGTGCTTCCTGGCTGCGAGGCAGCCATAAGACGTGCCGCATGTTGTTGTCGCAGTGGACTCATGACTCATTTCCACCGGTGACCGATTAGGGAAGACTCTGCTTTTGCCATCCAAGAATGGGTTTTCCCCAGGTGATCAGGCGTGCTTCCCGCTCATGGTCGGCCGGACCATAAGGTTTCCATCAAAACTTCACTCTGCAGCAGTCCTTGCCATACTGATGGCGTTTGCTGGTGCATCGGCTGCGCTCAGGTATCTGCTACAATACCCTGGTAGCAACGTGCGGAGGCACTCCCAATTTAGGGTGCAAGGGGCGCTCATCAAAAATGACCGCAGGCCCAGTATGAGGTTGAAGTTCATAGCTCGTTTCGTCTTTGCCGTTGCGATTGGTCCACTAGCTCAGTACCCTATCAGTAGCAGAGACTGAGTCAAACACAGCGCTGATCTTCTCTGTTGTCCTCCTTGCTACAGAGTTCATTTGAGGATCGTAAAGCATAATCATTCATTATAGTCACTGACCTATTTTTATTCCTAGTTGATTAACCCGTTAAGGGCTTGCGCTTCCGAAACCACGCTGTTAAGGCTCTTGAAGCATACTTCAACATACTAACGTATTTCGCAATGAAACGGTCTTAGACGGAAGAATTTGAAATTGAATAGAAATGCGACAGGAATTATGAGACAACCCAATATTTGCTGTATAGACGAAACACCTTTCAAATGACTCCGAGTGGGGTCTTTGCACGGCGCATACCAGAACGGAACAAATTGCGCCCAGTGTATCATTTCCATTTACTCCATCGATGACGTCCCAGAAGCATTTTGAAGTGTTCAAAGAAGTTCCTTGTTACGGCGAGGGAGTAATAGAGTTTTCGAGTGGCTTCGAAAATTTCCTTGACATTTCCTCGACGCAGATTTCTCGCGAACTAGAAATATGCGAAACAACGGAGCACCTATCAGAAAGCGCCAATCTTCTAGTTCACAATGCTCGTCTCCGATTCTTGAAAGATTGCCAATGAAGAGAGTTACAGTCTTCCGAAGAGTGAAACTCGCATGTAAATTTCAAATTCCTCGACATTTCTCGACGTCTTCAACTTTCGAGGCAAGAAGTGCTTGAAAAAAGCTCAGTACAATTTGGAAACTAGAAGTCGTGTGCGGACAGAATCTGCCTTTCTTTTTTGAAATACTTGTCATTGCGGAAAGTTATAGTCCATCAAAAAGAGGGTAGATTTGGCGATTTTTCCCAACTAACGCGCTCCAATCGAAAGGCGCGCGCGACGTTAGCGCGGACAGTAGTACCGATATGATGGAGCGCGAGACTGCTCAACTGCCTGAGCTCCTTCCCTTTTTGCTCCCGTTCTTTTCTAACAGAGATCTAATTCCTGTTTTCCTTTGCTTTCTCGTCTACCACAGGTTAGTCCGTCTTCGGGTTGTGATCCAGAAGATATTCCTGATTTTGACCGTTTGATTTCCTTTAGGACTCTTTTTACTGCAATAGACAATTTAAAAGTCATTAATGTCGAATAATGAGCAAAACTCTGCCTCTGGTCGGAACTCGAACCTGGAAGGAGGCTGGAAATCCAGCGAGTGCTCTGCCCAGCTACCTCCCTCTCGAGCATCTAACACGTACTATCATTTTTGTTGTGAAAGCATTGTGCGGAGGAGAAGAAGGGTCGTATCGGAACCTCCGTAAAAGGGTGGGGGTCGTAAAGACGCGGTCATTACACAATTTTAACTCTGGGAGGGAGTCCACAGGGCTAC